AAAAAAAAAAATCCTGAAAACAATTTTCGAAAACAAATTGCCAAACAAGTTTTTCGTGTTTTCTAAAAATGGAAAAACAGAAAAGAAAACACAACCAAATAGTTCTTTTTTTAAAATCCTAAAACAAATCAAATAGGAAATTCTACTCAAACAAAGTCAAATTCTTCAAAAGAAGAAGTCCCAAGACGTTATGAATAAAAACCTAAATAGTTGAGTGTAACAACTGTGATATGAACTTGAATATGAGCAGAACAGTTGGCATTAATCAGTTCCTACAAAGGAGGAAGCAATTACAGCCCTATCCCAATTTTTCTCTCGATCGTAGCTGCCAGGTAGCTATAAATGTGGACGTGGAATCCAACGATGCATGACACTTGTCAAGAACCCAGGCTTTCTTGATCATATCCATTGTGTCAGCTAACATAACTTCCTACATCAAAGGGGTAGTTCTTAACAGCTAGGAAAGAGACACATGGCGAGGTTTAAAGGCCTTTCAAGAACATGGGTGGTTATCTCAAGTTCTAAGTGATTGTTCATGGTGACAAAACACCAGAAAACATGTGAAGTGGGGTTGATAGTGGCAAGAGAGCATGAGACGCGTAGCAGAACTTGGTTGGAACCACAGGCACGGATTCAGGTCTGGAAATTGCCAACACATACTGGAGGCTTTTCAGGAACATGTGTAGGATTTTCAGAAAGTAGTTGATGGATTATGGGTTTAAGTCAACAGAAAAATGAAGGTAATGGTTCTAGAAGATGCAGGAGACAGTTAAGAATAGAAGATTTGAAGACATGGCAAAGTATCCAACATTATGTATCAACTTTTACAACTTCAATCACATGAAAGAGCCTTTTCCAACGCAAATTCATATTTTAGATATAATCTAGTGGAGAATGAAAAAGAAGCTGCTTTCAGACACCAATCAAAAGCTCAATCTGTGAATTCCATGTCATTATTAGAATTATGTTTGTGACCAAATGTTCCAGCTTGCTACTGACGTGGAAAAAACCACAATTGGACACCTCCAACTGTGATAAAAAAACCACGGGCAACAGCCACAAGACAATCCACTAAGAAGAATTAAAGGAATTACACAGGTATACTCTCAATTACTTAGCGAATCCACAACGCCTAATTGAACCAACCTCTATGTGCCTCTTCCAACCCCATCTTCACCACGGAATTGTCTTTCTGATGAGCCACTCCGGATTCCACCAAAGCTTCAGGCTCGAACTCTTCAGAATCCACCACCGAAGAACAACTCTCTCTTTTGTAGAACAAAACACAACCTTTGATGTACTCTCTTTAAACCATGAGTTGAATACTCAATAAAACATCAAAGAAAACTCACAAAGTATCCCCAGATATAAACCCTAGAAACCAAAAAGAAGATCTGGAGAAGTAATCCTAAAATCTGACCCAACACGCGAATTTATAGAATCTGTCCCGCGATCTCCGCTCGAGCGCCCAACAGCCCGCTCGAGCGGGCTTCAGTAAAATATGCGCGTGATATAACAGAGGTCCGCTCGAGCGCCAGAAATCCCGCTCGAGCGCAAAATCACATATCTCAGTACTTTTGCAGGCGACCAAAACTGCTGGAACCAGGGATTCTCCGCTCGAGCGCAGGTATGTCCGCTCGAGCGGACAGGCAATTTTGAATGCATTTTTGCATTTTGCTTCGGGGGCAATCTTGAACGCTTTATCATCACAAACTTCTCTGAAAAGCACAATTCAGGTTGGATTCGCATCTAAACACTCATAGCCTCACTGAAATAAAAAGTGCGAATAAAATTACAACTCAAAGGAGTTTAAAATTACAACTCAAAGGAGTTTTGTCAAACGGGATTGCCAAGAAATAAAACCTAACACGTTGATTATATGCCCAAGAAGCAATGCAATTACAAGGATACCAATTGAAATCATCATCGCAAACCATGGGGATGGTGGTTTTTGTTTGAATCTGCTTCAAGAACAAACTTAGTTGTAAGTCCATTTTATCACTTTGAATCTCAATCTAAGAACTCGCATCGACCCCTCTAAAATACACATTAACAGATAGGATTAAATAGATCACCTGCAACGCATCTCATGTTTTCTGAACGGATCACCAAAGTTAAGTGTGCTAACATGTTGTAACCTATCATTTGATACATTCAAGCCATACATGCTGATAGGGTGCGAAAAGTTGGTGGTATCATACACATTTACAAGTATGGTTTGTTTGCTTGCAAGTTGTTGAAGCAACTTCTCCACATTTGATTCGATATCGAAGACTCCGCCAAGGTACCTGCTTGGCAGTAGTGAAACATTAAATGAAGTTCTTATCTAATTCAATCTTTCTAATCTTGTCTGCATCCTAAAATTTCTAGCTGCACTCATTATTTATTCATTCTTGAATTAGAGATTTGTATACAATATATTACCTAAGAGACTCATCTCCATGAAAATAAATAATTACAGAATTCAATTTTTCAAAAACCAACAATGTATAACAACAAATAATTAAAAGCGCAAAACATGAAAAACTCCAAGTAATTAGAGTACATACATCCTGCAGATTTACATGCCTAATTATAGATGTGTATTGGTGCCTCTGGTGTGTTGGACATTTAACATTTCTGAACTGAATTCGAACGCACCTACCAAACATTTTATGGTATGAGAAGTGAAAGTTCAATCAACTGTTACTAAAATGAGGTCACCTAATGAAGAACAAAAAATTCGCTCATTTATCTTGAAAGTGATCATATTTATGTTCTTTTAGTACATGACAATATTCGTTATTTTGAATTTCATTTGTAGATTGACTGCCATTTATTCTTGTCATTTTGCATACTCAAAATATCAGATTTCCACTTCAAAATTACTATGAGTACTGTTGGCAGTCGTTCCCTTTCTATGGGACATCAAAATACAACCTTAATTTTCCCAACAACCCTAGTAATTAGCAATATATGAATAGATGTTCATGGCAACCGGTTGCGTCATGTAAATAAGAAGTGACAGAACAATACCAGGGTTTTCTCAGCACATTACTCTTTTTTTCATCTATACAAAACAGAATTTGGACTTTCAACTGACATTAATAAGTTTAACATACAGAGCATAGGCTAGTATTCAAACATCATTGCCTCCTAATTTAAAAATAAATAAAATAAAAAAATCATAAATAACATTTTAAGCAAAAAATTGAGTTGAATAATAAGTATATTTAAAAACATAAAAAGGAACATACATGGCACTGATGTGACATTCATCATCAGAAAGGCAGGTGCAACTGACAATACAGTCATACATAAGGGAGGAGTCCACTATTGGTGTTTGCCAGTTCAAGTTTTTGTCACAATGTTTCAAATTGAAATTCTAGCCTTTTTTACCCAGTTGTTCAACTATTTCACCAAGAGCTTCCACTGCAGAAATCAAAGTCATGTTAGCCTTTAAAGTAGTTAGAGATAAGTGATATAACATGGAGAAATGTCTATGTATCAGCATCATTAAGTATGGTTAGACATCTTAGTATTTTTACAAATTGTGCCTAAAATGAAGTTCATGCATGAATAAACAAGGACAAATTGGTTAAACAAGATAAATAGTCATATCTGGAACCTTTTTTGAAAATGCCATTTACAAATTGGTATTACCAAAGTGCCTGATCAGGAAACCTAACCATCTGACAGTTTAAACCTTTAAATTAACTCATATGTTATGACTACACAACATGATTATAGAAGGTTTGTCTTTAACTCATGCCTGTTACATCAAATATAAACTTCAAGGGCATTGAAGAGTAATCATATAATGCTGCTGTGATTTGTTAGTTTATACAATGAATGCAACCAAAATGAAGACAACACTGTGTCTATCCAGCTACTTTAGTACTACAGTGTGCAACAAGAAGATAACACAAAAAAAGAGAAGAGACAACCTTAGTTCACAAGCCTATTTGCCTCTTCAGCAAGCTCTGTAAAGAAGAGAAACAAATCCAGGGTTAATTGAAGGACTACTAGCAAGACCTTATGTTATATACTTGGAAGTAAATGTTCAACAAGCTTACCAAACATGAAGGATGAAGAGAATAATGAAAGGGCAGTGGTGACTGGCCCAAAACAGCCACACACATCATGTTGATCCTCCCTTGGAACTGTCAACGAGTGGGGCGACCCTTGACAGTTCAGTTCTTGCAAGAGACTATCAGCTCATCACTCCAATATTGTCTTTTTAATGGAAACTAGCAATCAATCAGGAAGTAGAATTCTAAGAAATTGAGTACGACATGTTGCATCGTTTCGCCATGTTTCAAAGAATGAATAATACATATTTCGCAAAGACTTGAACCCTAGATCAATGTTCTTCCAAAAACATTGATAAGTCATATTCACAATGTACAACACTTCTAACAATTCAATTATTTATGAAAGTATAAACAATTTTGAGATCAGCATCTAAATCTTCTGAGCATGTAAGGTGGCTATAGTTTAGAATGATAAAGAAGCTGGCATGTGATGAAAAATTAAATTTGAAATATAGATGAATCAATTTTGTAGCATTAGTAACCATATGCAAGGAAAAACTGATCTTAAGAAGCTCTGCCCTCTTTACACCATCCGTAGAAATTTACAGAGCAGCTGGATTGATTTCAACTCCTGTGATCGATCAAAAGGAATAGGCAGCTGATGGGACAATAATGCATTCCCCACCCATAATGATCAACATTCTGGTAAAATATATCAGGAAAACCAAACTGTTCCTGGTCTTTTCCTGATATAACCTGTGTGTAAACATCAAAGAAGAAAATCCTTAGGGGAAGTCCTTTATATATGCCCATTGTATGTAAGAATCCCTGACATATCAACTACTCTAAGGAGATGTAAACCAAGAAATTTTTAAAAGGAATGCTAGCAATACATTTGTTTTGGACATTAATCACAGGCAGCTTCTTGTGTTGGTAATCTCCATATTCTTGGAAGAACTTTGTCCTATTTTATCAATGAAACTCATAGCACTCCCGTCATCCCAAATGCCCAACTGTCACATCCATATTGGTACACCTAGCGCTCCATGCCCTTTCTTTTTATCTCTTTTTCCCCCTTTTTTAAAAGAATATCTTACATTCTATAACAAACTATATTAATAGGAAAAACAGAGTGGGTAAAACAACCCCCAACGCCTAAGAAAGCCTCAAGACAAGTACTGTTAAAACAACCCTCAACGCCTAAGAATATCTTACATTCTCCAAAGTCTACAGTAGTCCTAGCGTTGAAGGAATCTTGCCACTGAGTTCATTGTTATTAAAAACCCTGCTCAAATTAATTCACAAGATGACATTGAAATTAGGGCTCAGATTGAGAGAAACGGGGCTACCCAGAAATTCAGTCCAACATTCCTCATCATATTATAAAATTAAAAAAAGAAGAGAACACCCATTATTCACATGGAAGATCCTATACGTACGAATACTAATTTGTTTTGTTCAATTCTTTTGAGCATTAATCTACTAACGAAACCATATTCAATGATTCTAAATTTTTTAAAACTAGAACCAAACTACCCGATTTCAACCAGTTCAGATCAGATTCCCCATTTAACCAGTTTTTAAACATCTTTTAAGTATATACACAAACACAAGTAAAGTTCTAAGAGCCGCCAGAAGAAAAGAAAAGAAGAAAAGAAAAAGTCATACACTAAGGCATTTTCTAAACTATTGTTTAACATGTTGCTTAAAATTAGTTATCAAGAAATGTTAATAACATAGAAAGATGAGATATATAAATGACAAACTTATCTGGAATGACAAGAGGGGGGCCAAACCAGCCAGTCAAGGCTATATAGCTTACAAGCTATTCACAAAATTAAAGCCATTTCTTATTTTTGGGATGGTGATAACAAATTCTATTCTAAATTACATAGAAATGACGATTGCTACAACAACCAACCAATGTAAAATTTTCCACCTTACCATGAAACATTGAGCCCCAAATGGAAAACCAAATCAAATCATGAATTTGTTGCAGACGGACACAGAAAAGATTCTGCAGCAAAGGAGAATCTAAAAGCCTAATTTCGCCGAAAAAAGTGAAGTGAGATCAACTTACTGGCACAACCCGGCTGGTGTTTGCATCCCCAAATGAAATCGAAGCTAAGGGCTTTGAAGCCCATGCCTTAGCATTCATCGCTCCCTCTTGCAAATTACTTCTCTTGCCAGACTCCTTTAGGGAATTAAATAACTGGATTGCTCAATTCAGATAGGTTGAAGGATGTTCCCACAAGCTATTTAACTTCATATTCGGGATGTACAGTCTCCAAAGCAATCAAGTACATGCAGACAGAGTTGGTAAAAGGAAATAGAGCAACCTCAAAATCACGAATGCAGTGGCCAAGGCCAAATAACTGGATTGCTCGATTCAGATAGGCCGGAGGATGTTCCCACAAGCTCTTTAACTTCATATTCGGGATGTACAGTCTCCAAACCAATCGAGTACATGCAGACAGAGTTGGTAAAAGGAAATAGAGCAACCTCAAAAGCACGAATGCAGTGGCCAAGGCCAAATATGTCTCCGGCTGAAGCAAATTCTCTGGAGATCTAGCCTATGAGAATGGGCAACTTTCCTGCTCGGGGTGGTTGTTTTTTCCATCATCAGATGACTGTCCAATTCTTTCCAAGTATGTTCCATTCAATGGCTCAGTCTTAAGGCCTAAAAAAGTGACCTTGTTTTCATTAGATATCGCTTGAGAAATTTCTTCAGTAATTTGATACAAATAATGCAAAGAACAAAATACTACAAGTTCTTATGGATAAATGAAATCAACATCTTCAGAAAAAAAATGTAAGATCTTCAAGTGAGTTTCCTTTAAACAATGACCAGAAAAGTTCCAGGGTAAGGCCTTACCAGTAACATCATCGTAGAAAGAAACAAGAGAACCAAGGGTCCGAGAACCATGATAGCATACACGCATGGTAGAATTTAGAAGGAAAAGACTAGGAAACCCATGGTATTATTGCAGAGCCATAATCAGTAGAATCAAATTTGGGCCTTTTTTTACGAGCCCAAGACGAAGAAAACTAGGGTTCCCTATGAGGCCATGCTTAGCCTCGTACAACAGCAATTGGGTGGTGGTCAGCCTCTTGGAACAGTCGTCGCCGCCGCTGATGAGGTTTTGGGTGTTTTGAAGAACAATAACCCCAACAAGAGGGAGGAGATTGAGAAATTGTTGAACCCTATGTCGAATCATGTTTTCGATTAGATGGTTTCCTTTGGGAACCTAATCACTGATTTCCAAGAAGAAGAAGACAATGTTATGATTGATGATAATGTGGGTTTTACTGTTGTGTTTGACGAGGAAAAGAACAGGAGGAAGAGAATGGGTTTTGCTGTTGTGTTTGACGAGGAAGAAGAACAGAATGGTTTTGATTATGATGATCTTAAAGTTGAGACCAAGCTTTTGGGTCATCTCCAATTCGATAATTTCAGCCTTGTTAAGTGTTTGTTGTAGAACCGATTGAAGATTGTGTGGTGTACTCGTCTAGCCAAGGCCGAGGATCAGGAGACGAGAGAGATGATTGAGGAAGAAATGTTGGATTCTGGACTGGAATTGGCTGCAATTCTTGAGCAGTTGCAAGCCGATTGAGAGAGAGAACACAGAGAGAGGGATAGTTGGAGACAAAGAGGAGATCAGGGCCTTTTTTTTAATTTTTTTTTTGTTTTCCAGGTACAAAACGACGTCGTTTTTACTTTGGCGAACAAATTTTTTTTGTCGCCAAAAAATTTCATTTCCCCCCTCCCTGTTTGAAATTTCCCACCCAAACACTTTTGGCAACCAAAACACCATATTAGTCGCAAAAAAGGTACCTTCGGCAACAAATTTTTTTAGTCACTAAATCTCAATCAACGGCGACTAAAATATTAGTCGCTTAAAGTACAAATTTGGCGACTAAATTTTTTTGGTCGCCAAAATGTAACCTTCCGCGACCAAATTTGTGGTTGGTCGCGAAAAGCATACTAATTTCTGCGACTAACTCATTTTTGGTCACCAAAATGTGACCTTCTGTGACCAACTCATTTTGGTCGCCAAAAATAATAATCATTTGCGACTAATTAATATTTTGGTCAGCAAATGTGTAAATTCTTGTAGTGGGTGGCTGAGGGAGGAAATTAAAAATGACAATTGGAGATGGACAGTAGGGTAGAGTGAAATTTTTTTGCAATGGTGCATGATATAGAGTATAGAGGACTTGATTTGAGATAGCTCGGAGAAGAGTGTCAGTGCTACTCCCTCTAAATTTTCTCCACTTTTTTCTTCAATTTGTTTTTGATTTTAACAAATTTTGATTGGGTTTCAATATATAATTAAAATTGGTAGTTTTAGGTTCTTATATAATTTGAGAAACTCTAACATAAAATATTTGTAAGTGTAATTTTTGTAATTCACACAAAAATTTTTCTTCTAATATCTGCTAATCACATGATGTCACACATATTTTTTAGTTAATATTTAAAATAAAACATTATTAATAACATAATGAAAGCATCACTTAAGTATATTTTAAATGAAAACAACTTAATTTACATAATTTTAATTTTATCCTCTAAATTTTAAAATTGTTACTATTTAATTTTAAAATTTATTTATTTATTTATTTATTTGAGGCCATGCATAGCACGGATGTTATGTTATTTTTACTATATCATAAAATACCAATTTTATCACTATTCCTAACCTCCTAAAACCATAACCTTACCCCATGCTTACCCAAGGCACCGCCCACTTTAGCTCCTCTTTTGTCCATCTCTATCTCCGACTACCCTTACTATCCCTCCCCAACCTTGAGCTCCCACTCCCTCCTCTCTTTGTCTCCATGGTTGAGAAGGGAAAGGGATTGTTGGAGGTGGGGAGATAGCGGGGAGATGTGGTGGTGACCAGGAAATGGCTACCAATTATGGAAGTGGCAAGGTTGAGGTCCAAAGAAGCAGGGATATAATCAAACTTTATGATAAGTGTTTAAAGTAAAATGAGAAGCCAATTTTGATAGCATCACTCAGATATATGCTATAATTTACAATAAAAAATTACTGCTATATGTCCTTAATACTGAAAAATAATTTGCTACCACATGATCAAATAGGTT